AGAGCCAGAAGATCTTCCCAATGCAAAAAAAACAAAACAAAACAGAAATGGACTTCTTCTGGCTCACTTCCGAAGAACAAAAAAAAAAAAAACGCGCCCATTGATATGTTTTAAAAACGCCTTGCCCCTACCCTTTTTTCCAAAAAAATGGCATTATTAAATATATAAACATATATATAATCATCAAAATTAAAATGCTATTGTATTTTTATAAGACCTACTTTATTAAATGACCTGGGACTAATGACATCTATCTATAAGTCCTAGCATACATTCATTATTATAATATGAATATGTTTCTTGTTTTAATAACCACATATGATGCTATGCATGAGTCACCATTTATCAGGACATGAATTGCGTTTAAATAGAGAGGATGAGGGACGACATCAGAAAATCAATGAAGGATAAAAAACTTAATTCAAATAGTTTTTTTTTTTTTTTTTTGGGGGGGGGGGGGGTAACATGATAAAGAAATGATGAAATATAAAGAATACGTTGATTGACTTTTGGTTGCCTTATGTCCAGTGGCAAATATGTCACGCATGTTTAGGACAAATATAACAGAGATCAAAGGATAAAGAATAGAGTGAAATGGTAAAAACTAAAAGATATAGAATTATAGAAGCGATCTTTGATCTGAAACTCCTACCCTCACACACACACCATAACCATTACTGCCAATACTCGCGTATATACATCTCTATACAAATATCTAAATTTGAACCTACTCCCCCCCTCTAGACACCGAGGTTTTGGATCCACCCTTGTTAAATGTGTCTAATTATATACATTTTGTACGGGTCTAGATAATAGCTAAACGTACAATCATATAATTTGTTGGATACCTAATTATATTATATAATGTGTCACAAAATAAACTTGTATACCCCCCTTCCCAATGCAGTATTGAAAAGTAAATCATTTAAAAGTCCTGAAGATAAAATATGTTATGAAATATGCCCTGCATACTTATTTATGCAAAGACATATAGTAATTATTGAACTATTGTGGGGCTTGAAAAAAAATCTATTTAAGGGATTCGGAGACGAGAACAGTAAAAAAAAGCTCAGCAACGAATCCTAAATGTAAAATGATTTGCAGCATAAGACATGAGAGCACATATTATAGATAGTATTAAATATGAAGTTCACTTCTCATATAGTGAAGTCCTATGTCATAGGACTATTGATGTAACATGGGTTAGTAACGGTTCCAATTTATCCTGAATTGTCTTTATTAAAGAATTAGTTCCGGAGTATAACAGCTTATATCTCTACTTGTGGGTTTCTGGTTCTGCTGTCGTAATTAGGTGATTTTTTTTTCTACATGTAGTAAAAATGTAGTAAAAAAGAGGGGTTAGTCCAAATAATTGTAACGTCCTGGATGCTTTTTATTCTTTTTTCATGTGTGCCTTCCTGCAACGTCTCTGAGGATCAAGAAAAGTAAAAAATGATATAGCACTAAAGAACGTCATGATTACATGTATCTGGACTTAGATGGGCGAGGGGGGCTAGCTATGTATTTTATTTTATTTCAATGTGTAGACTGTAGGAGAGTTTCTTCAGAAAAGGTTTTCATTGGATGTGTTTTTGCCAAGCACGCAGGCATCTGTTTCTATCCATGAACAAGTTGTGTGTCAAATTAATTATTATAACTTGTCACTCGCATTTTTTGCTCGTCCTGGCCATTATTGACATTAACAGCCAGTGCACGAACTCACACGAACGCCAAATTTAGTTAGAGGGGCGATATTCTGACGCGTTTTTTAATTCTTGGTCACTCAAGTTTAGGAAGAAAGGGGAGAAATCCAAACAATTACCGACCAATCACAAACGTTGGTGCAAATTTGACCTTATGACGTCAAAGAATTTCCCATAATGCAATTATTGCATTTGAACGAAAATTGTACCATTTGAATGAAAAATTATACCATTTGAATGAAAAATTATACCATTTGAATAAAAAATATTGCATTTAAATGAAAACATATACCATTCAAATAAAAAAATATTGCATTTAAATGAAGAAATATACCAATTAAATAAGAAATATTGCATTTAAATGAAAAATATCAAATTTTTGCAACCAATACCATGCCATACTTAATCTTCTTACCACATTTAACATTTCTAACACTTTATTTAAACAAAAATCCAGGAGCATTATTTCTATTCCGTAAATATCAACCGAAAGACAACTTAGTGCTTCCAAATGCGAGTAACTGATTTTTTTTGCCACCGATTTATGAGAAATGTTATTTCAAAATGATAAACAAGTTCGACTTCGAAAAACATATCTTTTGCTGTATTTAGTTCTTATATTTCTTTAAAAACCTTAAATACCCTTTCTTTAATAATGAAAAATTATTGTCGTCCTGCTATTGACAATAATTCGATGTGCTATATCAACATAGAAAAGCAAAATGATCAATAGAAGGTTGTTTCCAGAACAATATACATTAATTGCATTTTAAAATTATGTTTTAGGCTATATAAATATCCCCAAGAATATCTGCTTTTAGATTATGTTTTTAGTAGCAATTTTCTGTTAATATTGCGCTACTTACCTCGTAATTTTTGTTTGATTTGGAATTATTGTATTTTGTTTTTTAAGATTCATATGATATTTCGAAACAATTTATCATACAAGAACAAGAAAATGGCATTTTGTTTTGATCCCAGCAAACTTTTGTAATGTTATTTTTAACCTTGACCTGATTGAACTTAAATTGCACTTTACGAATGTTTAACAGCCCGGGAAAAACACAAAGTCTTGATAATAAGCTTTCGAATGATATATAATATAGCCGTGTATTAGATGGGTGCACTTAATATTTCCTTTAAGGTGGCTCGGGAGTCTTCCTCCATTTTGGATTTTGAAATAGCAGATAACGTTGGTCTAATTTGATGAAATGTGCAAACTTTGAGAGTAGTATGTAATTTATGTGTAAGACTTTTGATGTAAATATAGAAAATTGTGGGTTTTATCATAATTATTTGTGTTTGATTAATTTTTTGTCAACTTTGCCGAATAAGGGGAGATAACTCAGATAAAGTAATTTTTATAATAGAAAGTGTTGTGAATTTACCTAATTTAATCTGTAGCAAGAAAACAAGTTCGGTGACCCCATTTTGTTCTTTTTCTTATCTGAAAGCATGTTTTAAGAGCTATCTTCTAACATTTTATCTTAAAATTCTATCATGTAGTTTTCTTTTTATCACACACAATTTGATTTTCCATGCATAATCTATACAAAATCTGACGATTTTGCACAACCTGTAGCGTGAAAAAAAGTCCGGTGACCCATACTTTTTATTATATTTTTGAAAAAGGCATGATAAAAACTTCATTATGACAAATTATTAAAAAATTCTATCAGTTTTAATTAAGACGCCCCAGCCACCTTAAGGATGTTAGCTCCTCTGTTTAAAAATAACAAGCTTTTTAAAAGACTGTTATACATTGATAGTATAAAAATAACAGAACTTAAAAAGAAAAATGAAAGGTCCGTGTTCTTGGTTTTTGAGATATAATCAATTGAATATTTGGCGGAAAACGATTCTCTCGAGATTTTTCATACATTTAACAATGGCTCCTTTTTGCTTTCAAAATCTATGAAAAAATAACAAGGATGTTATATGTTTTCAAAAATGAATTTTCAACTAAATGTCTAACATTATGAAAAGTAAAGTAGGGGTTAGCGGGCAAAATTGTTATTGGCGCTACATGGATAAAACTATAGGATTCCGAATAGCTGACAAAAAAAATCATAAACAAGAGTAGCAAACATCTTTATATATGAGTTTCACGACATCGACAAAAAGTTATCAAAATGAATTCCATATCAACAATAGCACATAATGCATGTTAAAAATATTGGCTTCTTTATAAAACAATCATTAGAAGTGAGGGCAGAAGTCTTATAATTTTATTCCATGTGTTCATTTCTTATAGAATTATTATTTCCTTGCTATATTATGTTTGTTTTTATTATTATTTTTTGTCACAAACTAATCATGTTTATATGCCAATAAAGATATTATAAAAAAAAATGTTGTGCTCAAAAGCATATATTTTATGGTTTTATTTCATAACAAAAGAAAGAGGTGTATTAAAAACTTATAGATGATTAACCAGTATAGGTAAAACTAGATTTACTTAAAGTGTAAAAACTAATCAAAGATATCAGGTGTACTTTTTCAATGCTTTAAAAATATCATAAATATGATGCATTTTTTCATTTGCTAAACTTTATAATTTTATGATTTAAAGCTTTGTTAGCAAAATATGTAATCATTATGGCAGCAAGTGTATTATAAGTTAATTATGTTTAATTTAAATTTGTTTCCGAAAGTGTTTGCTTGAATATTTATAAATATTATAAGTTGAACATTGTCAAAATTGATATCACCTGTCAATTGACATACAGCCATACCACAAAACATGACATTTCATGTTTATTATAATTTTCTACTAAACATTGAAATAGTTCAAGATATGTCTGTCGACTAAAATTACAAAAGCAGCCATTTATGTAACATGTTGGTGGTTTCTGCTAGGAACTTTCAATATCCCTCCAAAAATTGATATTTTAATATTTATGTTATAAAATGCAATGGTGTATACAAATAAATCATTGGTAGATTATGTCTTTAATGAACTTGAAAATAAGCACCTGAATGAATGTACCTACTTTATTCTACCAGAATTCCCTCAATCACCACAATTAAACAATAAAATGATACACTGTTAGCAGGAAGGGGTAACATCAAAACTTAAACAAAATTCAAATACAATATAATGAACTTAATTTGAAATTTGATTTTACATTCTTAGCTTTTATAAGAAAAAAAACTTTAAATGTTCCAGCAACTGAGAGTTACACATAACATAGAAAGGCTCTCACAGATTTTCTTTCTCAAGTTTACTAATGCTGTTGCAAGAATAGCATTTAAAAGTAAATGAATTTACTAAAGGTGGATAAAATTAACACTTACCCCTCTGTAATGATCAACATCAACATAAACAAATCCCACCTCGTTGTGAAAGTGTTCGACAAAACCCGGTTTAGGTTTGTAGTTCAATTCACAACGTAATATATGTCTGTTATAATTGTAAGAATGACATCTTGGTCTCCGGATACATTTGTCGAAACAGATCCTCGGGGGAATGTTATCAAATGTACGAATTTTGTATCCTGTGAGCCTAGTGTTCATCCTGTCTGGGTTCATAACCCAAATTCCGGATTTGCATTCAGCAGAAGCTATTACTAACAAATCAGCCAATGGTAGCAACAATTGTCCAAGACTAAATATCATGTTGATAGTAGGTTTTTAGAACAAATAATATATTCAAATGAATTAAATGATGCTTTATTACAATATATGTATTCCCGTATATGTTTATATATATAGTTAATTGTTCGTTATACATTTTTATATATTGGCTGAAATATCAAATGTCGGATTCATAATCATCCAATCGAGAAGCATAGCTCTTTCGCTGTAATTGTAATACAATAAACGTAGATTGCAAATCAGACCCTGATTGGTTACTATGCCGGTGTAGTCATATAATCCGTAACAATATCCGTCTTCAATCTATTGCTGACAGACAATTCATTTAATTTATTTCTTCAATCTTTCCTTTCTTTAATATTAAAGTGTTGAAGGCAAACGAAATATATTTTACTGGTCTGGTTCGTTATTGCAGTTTTATTCTACCAGTATTTTGGAGGAAAATTGCTGTATAAAGTAAGATATCAAAAATATCAAACACCAAGGAAAATTCTAAACAGAAATACCTTATGGAATGGTAAAATCGAACACATCAAACGAATGGAAAACAACTGTCATATTCCTGACTTGGTACAGGATTTCCTTTTGTAGAAAATGGTGAATTAAACCTGTTTTTTTAGCCAACTTAACCTCTCACTTGTATGACAGTCGCATACGTTGTGAAGGAGAAGACTCACTCCCAATGTTTGAAGATATAAAGGTGACTTTTATAAAATGTATATCGAAAAAATACACAAAATGAAATGCATGAAATGGTCAACAGTGAAAATAGTAAAAAATAATCATTATCTAACAACTCCAAAACAAACAAAAGTTAACAATAGCACCTAGGTTGGAAATCAGGTAGTCCAAAACTGTTAGTTTTTGTCTTGTCCTCTAGTGATAAACGTGCTTGACAAGATATAGTCAGCGAAACGGTATCATTTAAAACATTATAATACTGGCTGATTCTTGTCGAAATTCTAGCAAATCTGTTGCTGTAATATTTGGTACTGAGATGTTATTACAACCAATGGGTCAATATCCCCAAGGTTACCAACATTACGTCTGTATTGGCATGAAAATACGGATATAATTAAATTTATCTTCATTAAAATTTGGAGATCCTTTTAAAATATGTATTTTTCGTCGTGTCTAACTTTTATCCCTTGTCTGGTTTTGACTTTGTTATTTAGGTTTTATCAGCTCTGCAACCTTTGATTGATATATGTAAATTGTTTTTCACATGACAAACCGGAAAGATACAGACAGGTTGGTTTCATAAAGAAAATTAATTGACAGTTTAATTACCTTTGGATTAATGACGAAATTGCAAAATACGTCATGAACCGCTATATATTCGGGGTGTAGTAAAGATGTAAATGGTGACACACAAATTCTGATAAATGATCGTACTGCTGTGACTGCTGATATACATTTTGGTAGAGCGTGCTTGTTACGTTTATACACTCTATGAAAAACTAGATTAAAATAGCTTTTTGTGTTAATGGTTGATTAATAATCAAGCTTTCCTTAAGCTCATGTTGCAACTCTTTCACTTCAAATTAGCCTTATTCAAGTATTAATCTTGTTTTGATTTTAATGTTTTAAATATTGTTAATATATCTCGTACAAAATGTAATTGATTTAGTAACATGTTTTGATAATATATTTTAAAAGAAATCAAGATGGTAGATTATTTATTTGGTTTTTTATTCTGCAAATGATGATACATTATGCGAAACTAAACAGAAATCTAATATATTCGTGAGATATGCATAAATAACTGTTTATAAAAAATTTTAAAATGAAATAAACAGCTATAACAAATAATACATGATGATAAAAGGTCTACACCGATAAAACAAAGTGAATTGTTTCCAATTTTTTTTTTCGAATGAACTTTATGTAGAATTTGGAAATAAAGGCAACAGTAGTATACCGGTGTTCAAAAGTCATAAATCGAGTGCGAGAAAACAAATTCGGGTTACAAACTAAAACCGAGGGAAACACATCAACTTTAAGGGGAAAACAAATGAACAACAGGAACACTGAAGTGCAACGAAAACAAACGCCAACATACATAGAGACGAACTATTTGATAACAACTGCCATATTCCTGACTTGGTACAGGACATTTTAAGAAAAAATGGTGGATTGAACCTGGTTTAATGGCATGCCAAACCTCCCGCTTTATGACAATGTTAAACAAAATTATATCGCTAAAATGACAACGCTACGTGAAAGAAATAGAGCACAAACACACGCAGCAACATTCATCACAGAGAAACGCAAATACAAATAATATAATAGTCGATACAACATGCAAACCGCAGAACAACAACGAACATTCCATCAACGAAAAACACCACAGGATATCAAAACCAGTGACGCGATTACGTCACTAACATGAAATCTCGAACTATATACAATTATTTCACAATACTCTTCCAAACAATTTTTATGACAATGATGTTATAGAAAGGCAATTTTATAATTATTAGGACTACAAACGATTGGACATAACAGATTAACCATAACAGAAAAATTAAAAATAATAAAATAAATAAATACATCAATGTTGGTTGTACAAAATACCGAGACACGTCGTATATTAATGCAAATTCACACTCGATATAACAGTCATATTCGGGAATATGACAATGATGGTACTGAGAGGCAATTTTATAATTATTTGGATACCAAACGATAAGACATAACACATTATTCAACCGAAACCATAACAGAAACATCAAAAATAAAAACATGAATGTAGGATGTACAAAATACCGAGACACGTCGTAAAGCAATGCAAATTCACACTCGGTATAACAGTCATACTCGGGAATAGGTCACATTCGGTACTTAGCAGACAGACGACATAGATGTTAAACCACAATCTAAGACGTGTTAAAAATGTCATTAGTTAGTTAAGACACAGACACATCGTATAGATCAACCAATTCGTGAAGGTGTCCATAAAATTTACGGAGTGCCTTTTTTAATCTTACCTCCTCGTAACTCTGTTGGAGCAGTTTCTGCGTAAGGAGCACACTCCTGTACATGAAGTCAGTATAGTGTGAACATGCACGAGCATAACGTATCAATTGAGATATGTTAACACCATACGACGGAGCAGAGGGTATGTTACTTCTGAGAAATGGGAAATTGATAATTGGGAAGTTGAAATCATCCCGTTTGTCATAGATTTTAGTGTGAAGTCGTCCATCTATGTCAATATTGAGGAAAAGATCAAGGTATGAAGCAGTCCTTCTTGTATCAGTAGTATCTTTAATTTCAAGTTCACTGGGATATATGAGATGCAAGTACTGACTGAAATATGGGTTATTCAGTGATAGGACATCATCAATATATCTGAAAGTAAAATTAAAGAATTTTGCAGGGTGCTTTTTCTATTTGTCTTTTAGAAGGTTTTGAATGAATTCTGCTTCATACGAGTACAAGAACACGTCGGCCAGAAGGGGTGCACAATTAGTACCCATTGGAAAACCGACTGTCTGTTGAAATATCAATCCTCCAAACTCAACAAATATATTGTCGATTTAAAAGTCCAGCATTTTGATAATATCATCTTCACTGTATTTTCTGATAGAAATAGTGTGGTTCTTCACAAAACAAGAAATTTATATCTACGATTCCCATTTTTATAGAAAAAGCTCCGTTTAATGAGATGGTGTAGTCGATCTTTCAATTGAGCATGGGGAATAGTAGTGTAAAGTGTAAAAAAATCAAAGGTCTTAATGTAACTGCAAAATTGCAGACATTGTGATCTGAGATTTAGCAGTAGATCTTTATAATTTTTGAGAATCCACATCTGATTGACACCACTGGTTGAATATATCTCATCATAATATTTTTTAAGGCCATCTTTTACTGTAGAAAGAATAGTAGTCAACACTTTAGAAAGATGTATAGTCGAACATCTTGATGATCCAGCTATGTATCGTTCTTTATACAGAGTTTTGTGAAGTTTTGGTTTCCAGTATAATGACGGTAGATTTTCCTCGTTTTCTTTGATGTTAATACCAAATGAAAGAAAGACAGATTTGTGATTTTGTAAAATTTCATCCTTTGTAAATGAAGTTAAAGAATATGTAGAATTACTAGTTGTGCTGTTTATTCCAAACTCTTCTGTGAGACATTGCAAATAATGGTTTTTACATACGAAGACAGTATTATTCGAGGCTTTATCTGCTGGAACAACGACATATTTGTCATGCAAAGAGGATAAAGCATCCACAACCTCCGGGTTCTTGAATGGGTTAGAAACCCTTGTGCTCATAGTACATCGTAGTTTCTGAATGCGCTTCTGAATGCATGATCGAATAGCTTTAATCCATTCAAACAAAGTGATCAGATCTGGTTCGTCTGGTTTGCGCTTTACCTATTTTCTAGCATAGTCCTCAACTGCATCCATCAGTAACCTGAAGTTCTTTTTCCAGTTCATGGGCTGGGGAATTCTGTATTTTGGTCCCTTGGCTAACAACTCTCTTAGTTGTTTATTGGTAACGATGCCAAGGTCGCCAGTAATAACATGACCAGCTGGACTATAATTGTATTTCGACGATGCACATGAGCAATCCGGAGGTTTGGATTTTACATCTTTTGGGTTAAAGGCCTCTAAAACCCTCTTATAGTTGAAAATCTTGGATGCAATAGACTTGGTGTAAGTATATAAAATTACAGGTGTAGCTTTTTTTTTAAGTAATCAGGTATAGTTTTTTGTAAAGATTTCTGGTGGAAAATATTGCTAATATTGATAGCATCTAAACCTTTATTGGCAAATTCTACTTTTAAAGAATTACGTTTTTCCTCATTTTTGGAAGTAGTTGTTTCGGGTTTGAATAGTCTATGGTTAGCAATGTCCATGATTATTGAAACTAATCTATACAAAACAGAATTCGAATCAATGACGGAAGTATTTTGGGCCTCTTGAAA